AGAAGAGGATGAGCAGCTGCGACGATGCAAGGAAGGGTGCGGATGTGATGGAAGGGAAGAGAGGGAGGAGGTCGGATTGCTATAGAGGTACTTGGAAGATCAACTGATGTTTTCTTGGATCTATGTACGATTGTGGGGAGGAGGAGGAAGATCATGGTGATCGGGATCTGCTGGAAAACCCGATCTGGGTTCTGCTGGAGAAAAAATGAGAAAAAAAAAAAGAGGAAGAAGGTGGGAAGGGTAAATTTGTAATTGTATTTTTAAAATTTTTTGGTTTTGTAAGATGTGTTGAGTCGGGTGTTGATTGATGGTGTGACTATCAGTGTCCTTTTAAAATATTTTATAAAATGTATAAGCTATTTAAAAAAGCTAACTTTTAAAACTAAAATAATATCAAATTAATAGTTAATAAATCAACCATTAAATTAAAACCATTATCCTTATCCTGAAAGCATTAGACACAAGCGCGTAACGGTTTTTACGGGGCAAAACCTACTTCATATAAAATGACACATCTCAATTAAGAGGAATAAGATTGATTGAGATTGAATTTAGAAGTAGATGCGGTCAAAAAAAAGATTGATTGAGATTGAATTTGGAAGTAGATGCGGTAAAAAATAAGACTGATTGAGATTAAATTCGAAAGTAGTAGGGGGTCAAAAATAAAAATCAAAGTCTTCTGAATTGCAATAAAAAAAAGGTCGGAGTGCTGGAAGTTTATAATTAATTTGCCAGCATTATTTTTAATATTGCAATTTAATTAATAAAAAAATAATTTATTCTCTTTTTAATCATTTTTTTCTCTCAAATGAAATAAAACATACTTTTATAGTTTTTTTTTTTTTTTTGGTTCGAGACAACTTAGGGGAGGGGAGAGAAGGCGGCTTTATTTAATTGGTTATAATAATTGACACGTATGTAGTTCATGTTGACCATTCGACTATGAATCGCTAGTCGCCTTGCAGTCTCCGGTTCCCTTACCGTCCCCCTTACCATTGAGCCTCAACCACGGTCGGAAATAGAGCCAAAACGCTCGAGGAGATCATGAACAAATCAGTCGACTTGGTACTTCCTCTCTCTTGCTGTAGCTAGCTCCTTATTTGTTTTTCTTGATTTGCATATACATATAACAAGGTAAGGAAGTGACCATGTGTTTTGTTGCTGAGACAATGGAGTTAAAAAGAAAAGTTATTGAGGATTCGTATGTCTTAAGAACTTTTTAAGAATTTTCTGTTTTTTTTTTGAAAGTTGAAAATTTGAGAATAAAACTGGCTGATGAGGCTTTTCAATTATCTTCGACGTGACTTAATTTTTGTAAAAATGTTTTCCTAGCCATAACCCCCCTACTGACATTTTCATGGCTTTTTCTTGGCAACCAAACAAAGCAACTATGATCTGTTTGAATATGAATTGCAACAAATTTCCTTTTTATAGTACTACCTTTATAGTTGCTAGATTTACGTAGTTTTCACTTTCATCTTGAGGGAGAAAATATGGATCGATTTTTGCCAACAATAGGAAAGGATTAATAAATAAGAGTAAGGTTTAAACCTTGAGGCGGTTACTATTCGCCTATGATTATGTTGCCAGAAAGATACAGGTGGAAGTGTGAATATAAGCACCGAACCAAGCGGAACAAGTGAGTTGGCATTGGCAAGGCTCCGGCCCCTTGGCATCTTTGAGTAACGTAGTCGACAAGGGAATCATTATTAAATTGGCTTATCAAATAGGGTTCGGGTGATGAAATTGGCTTCTTTGCCTGAATATTTATTTGACTAAGAAGTTGCTAACTGTTTTCAGGAACGGATACCTGTAGAGGAAGTTTTGGAGCAGCTGAAATGTACCAGGGCTGGACTGACTTCAGAGGAAGGAGCCCGTCGACTCCAAGTTTTTGGACCAAACAAACTAGAAGAGAAAAAGGTTTGATTCATTACCTTTACTGTATGTGGCTT